GTCCAACGACTCCAGCCATCTAGCAGCAGCAATAGGATCCAAATATGGCAACACGCCCAGCATCAGTCTCAACAACAACATAAGCATAAATAGCGGAAAACATAAACAGCATCCACATCTAGTCATGGCAGCAAACAACATAATAACATCAACTAAGCTCTGGCCTCCTGCCGCCAGAGGCATCAGTCACCAAACTACCGGAACCTGAAATAAGCATTCCCCAAACGTGGGGTGAGATCTCTAAACAAGAAATCTCAGTAAGACAAGGGGTCCTCAAGGATCTTCCACCCCAAGCTCACTTACATGTGCAATATAAGTTCAAAAGCAGTTTATCATCATCAGTTCTAAAATAGTGCAATGCAGCAGATAACCATGTCATGTGTGTCAATTCTATTCTACTGGCCAGAGAAATGCAGGATTTATATACGCTAAATACTCACACTAGTGCAAGACGCTACTTGCATTCACCCCGGATCACCATATCGTATGACGCTACATACTCAGGCTTATCGTCAAGATGAAACAACACATGAATATTAAAAGCCATTACACATAAAGCTCAACAGCATTTAAAATATTCAAAGCATGTAACACAGCATGCATACAACCACACCCCCATGGGACATGGTGGAACCACAACATGGCTAAACCGAGGACACGAAAGCTTACCTTGCAAGCTAACTCCCAAAGCCAAGAGTCCACAGCTCAAAGTCCGAACACAGCAGATTCACAATCTGTTATGGACCAATACTATATCAATAATAATGCAACACAAGCATATAACTTAAAGACAACGCCTTTCCTTACGTTTTACGTCTTAAGGCTCCATACCAAGCCATAAATCCTTAATCACAACGATTCTGACTTAGTTCATGAATTACAGAAGTTCAACTTCATCAAACTAGGGTCCACAAACCCCCAATAGCCTACTGTACACACAGCACAGCTACTGTTCCACGAAATCCCAGAATATCCGGATATTCCTCGGGACCATATCCGGATATGCAATATCCGGATATCTCACTGGACATATCCGGATATGCAATATCCGGATATCCAGAATCCCATATCCGGATATCCACTTCCGGATACTCAAAACCCATATCCGGATATCACATATCCGGATATTCATCGGGCACATATCCGGATATTTCACGACATAATGCAGAAAATGCATTTCGTGAAGATATCCTTCCAAGGTTGGGTTTTTACCGATTTTAAACACTTAAACATACATTTCTAGGTGTGTTCAATATTACCCAACAACAAGTTATCATCTTTTAGTCATTAGATGCATCAAGGTACCATTTTTAAGCATTTAAACTCAAGATCAAAGGTGATGAAGCTTACCAAAGCTCAAACTCAGAAAAAGGGTGCTCTTGGAGCTCACACAACAGCTCCAAGGTTTTGTCTCTCACTGTACACGAAAATGCACACCAAGGAGGGTCCTTTCTTCACAAAGGTTGCTCCTTGGAGCTCCAACAACCCAAGGAAGAAGCTCACACACTCCCACAAGGCAGTTCAGACCCCAAACAGCCTCCACACAGCCACCACACTCAGGAAAAGAGCTCCTTTCACACTCACAATGATCTGTCCCACTCACCCAAGGTACAAAGTGAAGAGAAAAGAAGAAGAAAGGTCACAAAGCTCACAAAATGGTGGTGAAGCAATGTAACAGTGGAACCAGCAGCTGACCAGCCCCTTACCCACGTAGAGAAACTGTTTTCTAGGGTTTTGTGCCCTTAATAAGGGTATTTATAGCCACTTACCCAATTAACACACAATATTAACTTTAATTGATACGCTTAGCATTTTAATCCCAAACTTTGGATTCTGAAACTAAACATTTTTCCAAGAATTATCATATTTTTCTTATAATTTTCTGAGCACCTTTCCGGTAGGCGCTTTTCAAAGCCAGTACCGGTTTCTAGCACCAGTTCTCATGATTTGGACTTGAAACTCGTTTTACAAGTCCTACATATCATTCTAGTAATTATCATGCACTTACATTAATTTTCCGGGATACTTTTTCGGTACGCATTTATACCGACTGGCAGAACCGGTATCTGCACTTTTCTTCCGAAAAGCGACTTTCAGCATTATTACTCACTCACTATAATTATTAAAGCCTCATAATAATTATTAGGGTCAATTATGGAATCATTTCCTATTTCTCATAGTTTATTAATTAAATTCCTTAATTAACGGTGCGAGTTCTTACAACTTTTACTTCACAAAAGAATGTGAAAAATCCCATGTGATTCTCCTCCACTTGATGAAGATTGAATTTCAAGAATCATTGATGTCCATTAAGCTTTGGAGCTAATAAGGTTTATGTTTAAAAAAAGAAGAGACAAAGGAATGAGGTAGGGTTTAAACTTTAAGCTTTTAATTATATGGGTTGGTTGGGTTGAGCTTGGACCCATTTTTACTTTTTTCTTTTAAATCTTCTTAATTTTTTTTTACTTGACCTAAATCACCCGCCCCTTTAAAAAAAAATCTCAAATTTTTGTGTCTGCATATGCAGACAGAAAAAACAACACCGGTCCGCCTCTGTCTCCAAGTCACTCCAACACTTACGTTAGGTTAAGGGCTTGTTTGGTGTGACGTATAAGGCATGATAGTATAAGCTTATACTATACGTTATGACATTTTCAGTTGTTTGATGTGACCATCGTATAGTATAAGCTTATGCGACATAATCCCTTAATACATCAAAATGATGTATAACTTAATCCGGCCTAAGGGTGAGGGATAAAGCCTGGTAAGAGATTGATGCATTAACATCGTTGATCAATGTAATTCTCAAAAATTAATATATTATTTTAATATTAATCTATTAAAATAAAAATTAATTTTTCAATATATTAAATTTTAAAATATTGAATATTTTTGTTTTTATAAAAATTAATTTATATTTTGGACACACTGATCAATAAATTTTTATAAAAATTAATATCATATGACATTTTTTGAAGAAATATATAAATTCTTTATTAAAGGATATTTTTATTAAAAATATTTATTTTTATCATATATAGTATTATACAATGCATTACCAAATACTAGATCATATTATCATATACAATATATTATTTTATACAATATCGTGCCAAACGCTAGATAGTATTAAAATTCAATCAGGTCTTATACAATCAGACCTTATACTATCAGGTCTTATACTATCAGACCTTATCCTATACTATGCACCAAACATGCTCTAAGACAGATATAATGATTATACCTAAATTTTAAGCTAGCCTTATTATATTTTGGTTGGATGTCCAGTTTATGCCGCCTTTAGTAAGGTCACATTTAATTTCATTGGTGGATTGATGTTGCTTTTACAGCATATCTTGTGTGCGAGATGTTTATTTATCGACTATTTCTTTTAGGCATAGCTGAAATCACATATTGTCTTTTTGTTATTGGCCGTTGAGGAGGTTGTGGAGTCATGAGCTATTATTGCCGTAGCTGTAGGTCTATGGATGATGTGTACGCGAGATGAACACGTTGTCTTATTGGATCTCTTGGGTCATTCATGGATTAGACTCAATACCCCAGTTGGAATGAGTTCAAATCAATATAAAATATAAAATTATTAATATGTCTTCACCTGTCAGCTTAAATTTTTTAGATTAAATTAATTTTTTAATATGTTACATTGCAAACAATTAATTAATTTGTTTGTTTTTTAATCTTTTTTTAAGGGTGACAATTTTTTATACAACTCGTTGACACGACACAAACACAATACTAGAAATTCTTATTCGAGTCGACACATTTTCAAATTCGTGATGTGTTTGGGTTGACAAAAATAGATAAAAAATAGTTGATTTGTGTTGCGTGTCAACCTGCAAACCCGAAATTAACCTTATTAATTTTTTTAAAGGTTATTCGTGATGTGTCATGTTGTAAATATGTTATTTGTATCTTATTATGTCGTGTCTACCCAAAAAATAAGTAACAAAATTTGTGGTTGATAAGTTATTTGTGTAATGTCGTGTCGTGTCAATTCGCAAAATAAACAAGTCATGTCTGTGTCGAAGATTTTAATCTAATTTTAAATTCATATTTGTTCGTATTGATTGTGTTTGTATTCATCTAGTGGACCCAAATTGCCACTATTTTTCGGAAGCGTTTAAGTCTGTGAAACATACGATTATTATTTGTTGAGTAACTTCTCGTAGCGTCGTACTATATCAGAATACTACACATTAAAATATCCATTAGACAATTTGAAAGGGCAATGGCCAATGCAAGATATAATAAAAAAAGAAAAAGAGTCCATTGTGAAAAAAATTGAGGCCCAACTGCGTCTTAAGTATTACTGGCCTAATAAAAACTTCAATCCAGGTGGTAGGCTTTGTCTTACAATGTTCTAGAACTGTAGGTTACAAAACCTACATACAAAAAACAGGCAGCCCAACCCCTACTGGGCAAAAAAAGTATGTATCATTATGTTCTACCATTTAATTCTATCAACACTGGGTTTAACTTTTCCTCAGTCCATGATTTAGGACAAGATTGGAATGAGTCCTTTTCTATTTTGCACCTTTATGATCTTATTCAGCTCAATCGGATTAGATTAGACGAGTAATGTTGGATATCACTCATATTTCGCATGCTGATCAATGTCCTTGTTATTGGAGCTAGCAGAAAGGGTCTCATTCCTAGGTGAGCGGGTGGAGGTCCGGGGGGAGCCGCTCCGGGGGGTCCAGGAGGCAGCGCCCCAGGCCCGTAGAGACTAGATACTGTTATGTACTCTCATCTTTCTCTGTTAGCTTACGATATATTTGATTGTCGATTTCCAACAAGTAATTAGGAAGATGGTAAAAAAATCCAAAGAAGAACAGTCGTTATATTCTAATACACCTTTTCTTTTCTTAAAAAACTCACATATTCTTGTATTAAAAAAAAAAACTTACATATTCTTCCTGAGTAGATGAAGATAGAATAACCTTAAGTTTATATCTAAAAGGCATATTAAAATATGGGCTTGCAATTTCTCATGTTTCATGAAAAATTCAAATTTTCTTACAAAGAGAAAGGGGTGGGGCTCACCTTAAAAAAAAAAAAAAAAAAGTGATTAGTACGGACATCAAAATGAGAGTGATAAGAGAGGAGACTTCTTATACAACACGAGAACTCTTTTTCCCTTAAAATATTTCTTCACGTATCCATATAATAGACAATCTGAATCTGCTCACAAATACAAAGCTTAGATGTTTCCTGTTTTAAAATTGCTTGTCTATCTGCTTTTTCTGCTTTTCACCATTCATTTCAAAGCTCCCGATTTAGTGCAATCTGCTGAGGACTGAGTGCATGCTTGCGTATAAAGAAATATATCATAAACTTGCCAAATGATAAGTTCTGATATATTCTTTCAATTCTAATCCATTCAGCATATATCGGTTGGATTTTGAGTTAGGTCATCAATTAGGCACCACACAGATTGCGTTATATAGGACATAGTCTTGGCCTTACAGGACCAGTGTAGTTATATAATTTTCTAAGGTTGTAAACGACAAAATGAGTGTATATTGTGCCTGTCTTAACCATTCCCTTCTTCCACTTTTCCACTCCTTTCACTCTATTTATCTTTGTAGACTTCACTTTGCATCAAGCTGATGTGTAGTTTCTGACTTTCTGATTGCTTTGGCTGATGAATCATTTTCAATCAAATGAGAATCTTGCTTGGAGGATGCTTCTATCTTTCTTGCATCCTCCTCAGATTTCAGCTTGGTTTCTTCTTTTGCCAATTCAAGTGCTTGAATCAGACTATTCAAATAAATTTCTGCATCCCCAGAAGCAGATTTTGGCATCAAATGTTCTGCAACATCAGCTGGGGTGATTTTGGTTTCCTTAAGCAATTCACATATTGTGCTAAATAAGTGGTGTGATTCAATATTAACATAATTCTTAGCCAATATCTTGAATGCCTCAAAGCTACAGTATGACAACTCTATGTGCATATCCATTCTTCCTTTTCTTACCAATGCTGGGTCCAGTTTCTCAACATGATTTGTTGTGAAAACTATTAGTCTTTCTCCACCACAAGCAGACCATAACCCATCAATGAAATTCAGAAGACCAGAAAGAGTTACCTGACTATTTTTTGCTTCTCTTCCTTCCATTCCTGGTTGTTTTTGCATTGGATCTTTCTCTTCTCCCTCTTCCTTTCTCTCCTTTTTCTTCCTCCTCTGACCTGTCAAATCAAGTGAACAATCTATATCTTCAACCACAATTATAGATTTGCTAGATGTTTCAACCAGCAGCTTCCTCAATTCAGTGTTATCCCTAACTGCAGTCAATTCAAGGTCATACAGATCATAGCCTAGTAAGTTTGCCATTGCAGCAATCATTGTGGACTTGCCAGTTCCTGGAGGTCCATAAAGAAGATACCCTCTCTTCCATGCCCTCCCAATTCTTGAATAGAACTCTCCTGCATTGCTGAATGTGATGAGATCATCAATGATTGTTTTCTTCTGCACTGGATCCATAGCTAGTGTTTGAAATGTTGCTGGGTGCTCAAACACTACATGGCTCCAATAAGACCCACTATTGGTATAAAGCCTCCTTTGTCTATTTTTCACCTTAAGGGCCTTACCCTCTTTTAGGACATGATTAAGGTATGCCCCAAAAATTATATCTCTATGAAGTTTATGGAAAGTGAGCTTGTAGTACCTTTTTTCATCTGTCACTGGGTGGATAGAAAGTGACTGTGATTTGTGAATATGCTTACCAGAAGCCCACCAAAGTTTGACACCATTAAACACATCACCTACTTCTTCATGATCATCCATGCTAAGAACAAGAGACTGGTTATTCTTTCCTATGTCAGCTTTGAGCCTCTTTGCTTGTGTTGATGCCTTTGTGCTGAGGTAGTTTTCTATGGCTGAGTATGCTTCACTGCGCATGAGTCTCTCCCCAGTGAACTCATGGAATGTGATTTGGATGTAAGGGTAGACAAAAGTCATCAATTGTTGTGAGTATTTCTCAATTTGGTTGCGAAGTTGGTAAGGAAAAAATTGCTGCAACATAGCCCAAACAACCATTAAGGAAGCAATTATAGATCCTAAGTTAGCAGGAAACATGTCACCTGGTTTCATCTTTCTAGTTTTCACTCTTACCCTTTTTTCAGCTCTTCTTTGTTTCTTTGGTTCACACTTTGTGTGGATTCAGAAATGGTTTTCAGGCTTTGTCTTATACAAGAAGGTGAAGGACGTGTGATAATGGTCCACACATTTATTTATCCTTTTCTGAATCTTCTGTGAATGTTTTGCAAGAAAGGTGAGTGACATGTTTGTCTACATCCTCAAATGTCGGCAAAAAAAGTAAAAGCCCTCTTCTCCGTGGTTGATGTGTACAAAATGGTCATAACAACACCGACTAGAGATTCCTTAATCAACCGGATAAGACGACGAAATAAAGGAAAATAGTTTGTTAGGTAACGTAAGACATTTTTTTTTCTATGCTACCACCATTTGGATTGGTCCTTAGAAAGGTTGAAAGGTCACCAGATAAGAAATTTGACATGGCTCTTGTTGGAAAAATGATTCTTCTTTTATTGAAATTCATTCATTTTAAGCTCATGTTAAGGCCACTATGAAAATTCTGAGTTAAGTAATAAGGAAACTGATAGTTTAACATATTATGTAGGGAAGTGCAAAATCAACATAATTCAGAAAAAGGGTTAAAAAAAAAAAAAAAAACGATTATAAACTTATAATGGGACCTAAAGTATTATTCACAATATTATGTGAATATAAATGTGTATGTTCCTCACAGAAGAATATATACTTTTGTAATACCGATAGCTCTCACATTATACAAATATGTAATACCTAAAACGAGGGCAAACTTCAGTGTATAAATTTGTTATTCATATTTGCAAAGAAGCCAGTTTCCTAAATTTGTGCCCGTAATCTTGGGATCTCATAAAAGCAACCTTATCATTTGTTCCAAGAGGCTTGCTCTGAACAACTAATAAAGTGTTATTTATTTATTTAATGAGTTGCAGATTAGAATGTGAATAATGTTAGAAAAGAACGTACAATTTTGTTATACGAGGAGCTAACATATAAAAGCACATGTAACACTTGCACCAACACCAACGAAAATAAAAGCTCACATAATGAATCAAAGTAGAAAATTGTGATCAGAACCAAGAACCACAATAATCAGATACTCCTATGACCTGTGTTGTCTTTCAACTCTGATGGAATTAACTTATCTTTAATACTAAATATTTAACATACTCTATTATAATGTCTCAAGCACATAGGATGAGTCTGTAATTCAGCACAATAATGTTACCTCCTATAAGAGTAAGCATACTAAATAACTATAATAATATAAACAGATATTCATAATGATATTTTAGTAGCGCTCTAAGAGTAAATATATAGAAATAACTAACAACAAACAAACAACCAATTGATGTTCTCTAGGACTCTGCATTATCAATCTTTTCCATATGCTCCTTCTGTTTAGCTAGCATCTGCTGCCTCCTCCTCTGATGATTCCTTTCCATTTGGCTCTTCCATTGCTGTAGTCCCTTTTTCTTTCTCAGCTTTCACGTGTGCCTTTTCCTTCGAGCTTCTAAGGGCTCGGATCAATCTCTCAAGGGAAGTCTCAACATCTTCATTGGCTACCTTAGGCATCAAGTTTTCTGCAACATCTGCTGGGGTTATGTTGGTCTCTTCCAACAAGCAGCGAATGGTGTCAAATGAATGGTGTGACTCAAGACTCAGATAATTCTTTGCCAACATTTTGAATGCCTCAAAACAACAGTAAGATAGTTCAATATGCATGTCCATTCTTCCTCTTCGAATAAGAGCCTGATCAAGTTTCTCCACATAATTAGTGGTAAATATGATCAATCTCTCACCACTACTAGCTGACCAAATCCCATCAATGAAATTCAACAGCCCAGAAAGGGTGACCTTGCTGCTTTTACTCATACTTTTTGCACCTTCTACTTGTTTCAGCATGGAAGTAACTGGATTCTTCTCCTCTTCACCTTCACCACTCTCAGAATTTGTCTTCCTTTGTCCAGTAAGATCAAGTGAGCAATCTATATCCTCAATCACAACAACTGACTTGCTTGTGATTCCAATCAGAAGCTTCCTTAGCTCTGCATTGGTTTGCACAGCAGTTAGCTCAATGTCATATATGTCATACCCCAGAAAATTAGCAATGGCAGAAATCAATGTTGATTTTCCAGTTCCTGGAGGACCATAAAGCAGATAGCCCCTCTTCCAAGGCTTTCCAATTCTTGCATAATACTCTTTGGCCTTGCTGAATGTAGTAAGGTCATCAACAATCTCTTTCTTCTTGTTTGGATCCATTGCAAGTGTTTCAAAGGAAGCTGGATGCTCAAAAATCACATGACTCCACTTGCTCCTCTTTTCATGATCACCATCACCTGAGCCATTGGTGTAAAGCTTTCTCTGCCTCTTACTAAGACCAATGGCCTTACCTTCAACCAAAACATGGTTAAGGTAAGACCCTGTAACAATACAACGGTATCTGTCATGAAACTTAAGAAGGTAATATCTTTTATCACTAGCAGGATAAAATGACATAGATTTTGTATTGGGAACTGTTTTCCTGAGACTCCATACAAACTTTATGCCTTCAAACTCATCAGAGACTTCCTCTTTTTCATCCATCTTTAGCACCAAAGATTGCCTCACAAAATCCCCTTTGAGCTTCCTTGCTTGTTCTGAGGATTTGCAAGTCAAGTAGTGTTCAATGGCAGAGAAGGCTTCACTACGTTTCATATAGTCACCTGAGTGCTCAAAGAATCTTACCTCAATGTATGGGTAAAACAAGTTGGTTAATTTCTCTGATAATCTCTCTGTGAGTGTATTTGGAAAATACTTTTGAATCATAGTCCACATTAACAATATGCTTGCAAAATTTGAGGCAACTAGACCCCAAATGTCACCCATTCTTTGATTTATCAGCTTGTATCCTTCTTCTCTTTTTTTGCTTTGTTCTTTCTTGTTATCAGGTCTTTGTTTCTTATATTCTCAGTCACAGTTCATTTGTTTCTCATGCAGTTGTTATTCGTACCAACAAAATTCACATGATACTAATTCATAATCATTAGATGCTCTGTGTTGACACTGATGTTTTTTTTTTTTTTTTTTTGTTAGCACTCGCATAGTATCATGCTTTTTTAGCTCCATCAAATAAATCTCTGATGTTGTGTTCAACGGCTTATTGACCAAATATAATATAGTTTTTTTTTTTTTTAAATATATGGCACATTTATTAAAATAATAATCTTGTATAGTTTGAAAACTACTTATATAGTTTGACCAAGTGCCTTTAGTGTCTAAATTTCCCAAAATAAATTCTAAAATAATGCAATTTGGAAACAATTTCCTTATCTAATGTAGTTTAAGTTGCCCATGGATATGTATCAATAATAAAAAAAAAAGTTGCCCATTGGATGAATGCGTGACTAGTTGCAATTAACTAGATCATGTTAAAATCCTCCCTATTCATGGAGAGCATATTTAGTGCTCCTGTAGCACATAACACATAACGTTCAGTGAGACGGAGCAGCGAGAGAGAGACAAAAAGCTAATGAGAGAGAAGAGAGAAAAATTTTTTTAAGCCAAGTGTCAAATTTTTAATTGAAGGACCATAATGATCCAGGTGGATTCTAAATTTTTTTCTGTCCATGATCTGAGTGTGTAGTTACGTGATAGATTGTGAATACAACTGCGATATTATCCAGGTGAAGACAAGGGGTCCTCAAGGATCTTCTACCTCAAACTCACTTACATGTGCAATATAAGTTTAAAAGCAGTTCATCAATATTATTTCTAAAACAGTGCAATGCAGCAGATAATCATGTCATGTGTGTCAATTCTATTCTACTGGCAAGAGAAATGCAGGATTTATATACGCCAAATACCCACACATAGTGCAAGACGCCACTTGCATTCACCCCGGATCGCCATATCGTATGACGCCACATACTCAGGCTTACTGTCAAAATGAAACAACACATGCATATTAAAAGCCATCACACATAAAGCTCAACAACATTTCGAATATTCAAAGCATGTAACACAGCATGCATATAACCACACCCCCATGGGACATGGTGGAACCACAACATGGCTAAACCGAGGACACGAAAGCTTACCTTGCAAGCTAACACCCAAAGTCAAGAGTCCACAACACAAAGTCCAAACACAGCAGATTCACAATCTGTTATGGACCAATACTATATCAATAATAATGTACCACAAGCATATAACTTAAAGACAACGCCTTTCCTTTACGTTTTACGTCTTAAGGCTCCATACCAAGCCATAAGCCCTTAATCACTTGATTCTGACTTAGTTCATTAATTACAGAAGTTCAACTTCATCAAACTAGGGTCCACAAACCCCCAATAGCCTACTGTACACACAGCACATCTACTGTTCTTCGAAATCCCAGAATATCCGGATATTCCTCGGGACCATATCTGGATATCTCACTGTACATATCCGGATATACAATATCCGGATATCCAGATTCCCGTATCCGGATATCCAATATCCGGATATCCAAATCCCATATCCGGATATCACATATCCGGATATTTCTCGGGCACATATCCGGATATTTCACGACAGAATGCAGAAACTGCATTTCGTGAAGATATCCTTCCAAGGTTCCATTTTTAACACTTTCAAACGTTAAAGCATGCATCGTTATACTGTTTAAGGGTCATACTACTGTTGGTTACTTGTTTAACTCTTTTAAACATACCAAGACTTCATCTTTAAGCAACAAAACTCAAGACCAAGGTTGGTACAACTTACCAAAGCTCAAAACAGAGAAGCAAAGGCTCTTGGAGCTCAACACACTGCCTCTCCAAGTCTGACTTGAAGGGTACACGAAAATGCTGCCAAAGCTTGGCCCTTTCAACACAAAGGAAGCTCCTTGGAGCTTCACAAGCCAAGAACAAGACTCTCACCACCTCAACTCAAGAGGACAACCCCTCCAACACTCACAATCATCAACCCCAACTCAGAGCAAGGTCAACAACACAGCCTCAAAGCTACTCTCACCCACACCAAGTGTTTAGGAGAAGGATTTGTGAAGGAAGTTGCCTCAAAGCTCAAGAAATGGAAGAGGAAAAGCAATGGAATAGTACTCAGCAGTTGGCCAGCCCCAAAACTCACGTAGAGAATGTGTTATGGCCTAGGGTTTTGTGCTAACAAGCCTATATATAGCCACTTAACATATAAACACACAGTATTAACTTTAATTGCTACGCTTAGCATTTTAATCCAAAATTTTGGATTCTTAACCTACTCAATTTTACAAGAATTATCATATTTTTCTTATAATTTTTAGAGCACCTTTTCGGTACGCGCTTTTCAAAGCCAGTACCGATTTCTAGCACCAGTTCTCATTATTTGGACTTGAAACTCGTTTTACAAGTCCTACATATTATTCTAGTAATTATCATGCACTTACTTTAATTTTTTGGGATACTTTTTCGGTACGCATTTATACCGACTAGCAGAACCAGTATCTGCACTTTTCTTCCGAAAAGCGACTTTCAGCATTCTTACTCATTTACTATAATTATTAAAGCCTCATAATAATTGTTAAGGTCAATTATGGAATCATTTCCTAATTTCGCATAATTAATTAATTAAAATTCCTTAATTAATGGTGCGGGTTTTTATACTTCAAGTCATACCTATTACGTAGCCAATCTCCGCCGTATATTCTTGGATGATATCTTCAGCCAAGCAAAAACGATAGGCATCAATAACTCTTCCTCAAGTACTAAATGTTGATTCTGATGATACTCTAGAGATTGATACAGATTTTATGTCACTCTCAAATATAGTATTGGTGAGGGAATGAACCTAAGTCCTTCCACTACCTACTTAGCTAACATGCACCAACTGAACTATCACCATTTGGTACTACTATAAATAATATAATTTTATTTAACTTAAAATAAATAATATGATAGGTCGGCATGTTAAAAAAAAAGCCTATCATCTGCTTTCTAAATAGGCTTCTTTTAAAGCCCGAGTCTGTTCTATTTGACTATAAGTAATAACCCAAGCCCGACTTGATATAGGCTAGGCCGTAGGCCCCTGTAGGCTGGCCCGATCCACTTTCACCCCTATTACTAGCCACTAGCCAGATGAAAAAGAGGGAGAGATTATATTTACTAATTCTTTTTCTTATCATCTCTTACTATTAAATTTTAATCATTGATTTCTGTCAATTTAACGATTATAATTTATAGAGTCATATTTATTAATTAATTATTAATTTTTCAATAAATTATAATTGTTATATTGATAGAAATCAACAGTTAAGATATGATAGTAAGAGGTAGTAAGAAAAATATTAAATATAACTTTTTCATATATATATATATATATGGGAAAAATATTTCTCCGACAACTTGAGATAAGTTTATCACCGGCCACCCTAAAACAACGTCGTTTTGTTTATTTATTTTCTTATATTAATTGATTCATCTTTGAATGGTTATAATTCATTTTTTCTCTCTCTTCCTTTATCATCACCATTAATTCATCTTTATACGGTTATGACTTAGTAGTTGAAGATAAAATTATCTCAAACAACTTGAAAAATGATAAGCTATATATATATATATATATATATATATATATATATATATATATATATATATGTAGGAGCATGATATACTTACCATAAAAATTGTTTACCACCTTTATAACTGATCAAACCAATACAATATGAACGAGCCAATATATATAGGACCTAATCATGCACGGTTGAAGATTGAAGGCTTTTTGGTTGGGTTGTCTGTTCCATGGGCTTAAGTTGATGGCAATGATATGGATCAAGGTTGTTCTCCCTTGGCGTAATGATTCTGATTGGGGGTACCTGCAAAGACACTCCGATGCTCAAGTCAGTATCAATGACAAACTTATGTTGTATTCTTACTGAATTGAATACATGTACCTGGGTATGTACCCTTTGTTTATGTAGCAAATCTAATGCCGCCTTTGGTAGGTGATATGCCCTCTGATTGACCGTTTATGGGCTGCAGGTTTATCTGTTCTCAGCTGGTGCCTTTCTGGCTATACCTCTACATGTCAAGCTACTTTTGGTAGAGTAGTGGCAAGCTAGTGCGTCTTTAGAGTATTGGTTTTTTGCGCGGTGGTGTCATGTCGTGTTCATAGACTTCTTCCTTAATTATGAAGTCATGTCTCACGCGATTTAGATTCACGGCGCCTCCTAACACTTTACGCGCACGATGGAGGTATTGCGTAGTGTGTGGGCCTTGATATTTGGGCTTTAACCCTTGGTGGGCCTATTGTATTTTATTCAGATCAATAACCAATCTAATCATAGTTGATTTCCGTCAATTTAACGGTTATAATTTATTGAGAATTAATAATTAATTAACAAGTACAACCCAATAATTTCCAATAAAATATAACCGTTAAATTGACGAAAATCAACGGTGATTAAGTTGGTTGCAAGGGTGATAAACTTTTTTGGGTGGTAACTATATCTTTCCCCATATATATATATAGGAAAAAATATTTGTCATTTTAAGAGAGAGATAGACACAAAATAAATTTTTTATTTAAAATTTAAATTAAAAAAACCATCCACTTTCTCTCTCTTATGATTTCTATTTTTTGTGTCTATCTCTCTCCTAAAATGACATAACTTATGTCATTTAAAATGACAAACACAAACTCATATATATATATATATATATATATATATATATATATATATATATATATATATATATATGGTTCGCTTTTTCTACGGTCAATGTAAATAACTTATCTACAGTGAGCCCAAAACGATGTCATTTTGAGGCAGAAATCAAGGTATTTTTGTAATTATAATTTATTTCAGGGTTATAATAGTATTTTTCATTATAAATTTTTAATTTTTTAACCCAAAACGACGTCGTTTTGGGAGTGAATGTAGATAACTTATCTACATTCACTTTAGAAACATTAAAGCCATATATATATATATGTATGGAGGAGTTATATTTACAACTCAAATAGTTTACAAACTTTTACAACATATCTTAATTGTTTTCCGCCAATTAACGATTGTCATTTATTGTGAATTAATAATTAATTAATAAATTTAAATTTACGAAAATCTTAACCGTTAATTGACAGAAATCAACGGTTAAAATATGGTTGTAAAAAGTTGTAAACGAAAATAGGTTGTGAATATAATCTTCTTCGTATATATATATATATATACACGGGAATAACATCTATCCTTTTAAAGAATATAACCATATGTCATTTTAGATCTTAACCGTTAATTTCTGTTCATCAACGGTTATAATTTATTGGGTCAAAATTATTAATTAATTAATAATAAGTTTGTCCCATTAAGTTTGACCTAATAAATTATAACCGTTGATGGACGGAAATCAACGGTTAACATCTAAAATGACATATGGTTATATTCTTTAAAAGGACAGATGTTTTTCCCATATATATAGAAGAAAGTTATACTTACAACTTTTTTTTTACACCCTCTTACAATCATATCTTAACCGAACAATTATTATTTATTTATTATCTTCCTTAAATCTTTCTTCCCAAATCGAAGACCAGCCGTCCAGCACCTCCATCTCTGCTCACCGTCGACCGCTGACAGCACCGCCGGCTCCATCGCGACTCCGCTTCCCGTGTTCTTCCTTGCAACACTGTCAGACATCAGCACCATTTGCTCCTGTCAGCACCGTCGGACGGACATCGGCACTGTTCTGTATCGCGTCGCCACCATCTGCCAGCACCGTTGGACATCGTCTCCAGCACTGTCCGCTTCCTTCCAGGTGTAAACATTGCAAAGATAGGTTCTCCCACGCGCGTCGGAACGTGTGAACAGATTTATATTTTTTTGGAAAAAGGACGTGTCTGTGCTTCCTTGCTTGAAAACCCTAGACGCTGTTTCGCAAGGGTTTTTGCAAGCAGTTTCGTTCCTTCTCAGAGCAACCCATTATGGACGAGAAGATAGACACCGCAGACAAAAAGGTAAGTTCCTTCGCCCACTATGTTCACTGTTTCCATTGCTTCCTTCTTTTTCTTTCTTTATTTTTTTTGTTTTCTGGTGATATCATCAGTTATAGAGATAGATTATGATACTTTTATGAGATAGTATATTGGTACTATGAGTATTATTAGCAATGTACTAGCAGTTTGTTTTAAGGTTACATTGATCCAATGGTTCTGATTTAAGTTTTTAAAAATCTTATTTAATTTTATATTTATTTTTATCTTTGTACTTCTCATATTTAATAGATGAAAATAAATATAATCATTAAATCAACATAATCGAACTGTGAAACAAACTGGTAGTAGTATCTCTACTTTTATATGTGTACACATCTTCTGGTTTAGATGGGTGAAACCTAGTACATGTATTTGTTAGTTTTTTTTTTTTGTTTTCTAATGCTTGCATGTGGGCAGGTGCTGGTTGATATTGTAAAATTGTCACAAAAAAGAGGCTTGAAGGGTAAACAGGGAGACTGGAAAGAATTCTTGAACATTTATGATAAAAAGTTTGGGGCAGGTTTGAGTGATCCATCAAAGAGGTCCCATGAGATTTTGGCTGCATTTCTAAAGACATTTTCCAAGGAGGATGATTTGAAGGTAAAGAACTTTTCAATGCCCTATATGTATCTATGTCTTCCTTTCCTTTTTTACCCCTTCTTCTGGTAAGTGGGGCAGTTAATAGCTTACTAGATATGAGTTTAATCCATTTCCCCTCTGAGCTCAGTTTTTTGCTAACATCATGCGGCATCATTCAAATCAAGACACACTGGAGCAATTGAAGGATAAATCTCATGATTCCCCTGGGCAGGTATGTTTTCATAGTGATTATTCAGCTAGATTTCGTAGTAAACCCTTCTTTTTCTAGATTGTAATACTACAAAAGTACTAATAAGTAATAGCGTTATTGTACTTGACAAGACATGCTGGATTGGTTTAAAGCAATTGAGTTATGACTAAAATATTGATAAGCATTTTGTTTTCACTTTGTAAGTTTTCTATGAGGTACTTAATTTCCTTCCCCCCAAAAGTCTTACTTATTGCTTGTGTTTTTGGCTTTCTGCCAACATTTTACTATTGTTTCCTCAAGTGATTCAACATTTGTATCGAATTTCATATGGGCAGTCACTGTTTTAATTACTATTTACATGTACCTTATGCATTATTTTTAAAATTATTAGTTACATAGTTATAATTTTATGATTGTTGCTTTTCTGAGTTATATTATCACCTAAATCATCAAGCCATTTTGAAGTTGACTCATGAATGGAATATGTCTTGTTGCTGTAATCAAATCTTAATAAAGAACCTAAAAATCAAGATGCTGCAACTGATAATGGCATAATGCATAATCTCTGAGAATCAGCAAAGACATCTTCTGATATCGATTTATGCTGTCAATTATTCTTTACTCTTTTTATTGTGTTTTGTATTTGATGATGGAATGTACATGATTTTCAAATCAGTTAGTAAAATTCTTAATTAATGGTGTTAATTTCAATTATGCCTTCTGCATTTATTGATGATTCTACTATGATTTTTGTCACCTTCTGATGTTGGCAGCGCAGAGGCTAGTCCAAGTAACTCTCCAGCACCCATTATATCCATTGGATTATTCTTCACCAATTGATGAGGTTTGTTGTGACCATCTGTACGATGATTTTCTGGTCAACCTATGTGCATTCAAAATACTAATTAGCTGTTGTTGAATGTGTGCTCTGCCTAAACACGAACTGTTCTGCATGTGAAATCATACATAAATATTTGTGTTGGTCTTTCTGTCCTGGTCTAGCTGATGATGCCATCAAAGAAGTTCTTTGAGAAATTTAGAGTAAAAACATTTTTTTTCCATAATTTAACAAAATGCTTCAGATCATAACTCAATGAAGAAAGTTGACCTTAAAAAAATCATTGTTTCATTTCAATATTGCATTCTGGATTTCCATATTTGATTGTTGAAATATGAAGCTCATGGCAATGATTGATATTTTACAGCTCATATTTTCATTGCTTGAAAATTGGAAAAAAAGTTGTTAGAAAAGATTGAAACTATTTGTTCACATGGATGCATTAACATGTCAATATTTGATTGATTTAAATATGTTTTTGCTAATGTTTTGAATAAATAGTTGCATATGGATAACAAGAAACCTGAAGAAATGTGCGATAAAATGTCTGAAACTCTTTAATGTGCACCTTTTAGATGGCAATGCATATATTCAAGCCCCTTACATTAATTTGAGATACCTGATAAATTTTCCAGAAATAATTTTTTTGGTGCTCTTTTTAAGTTTATTGTGTGTGACTGTGTAGGACATGAACTGAATTTTATCTTTGATATATAATATATTACTGCGATTGACCTTGATTTCAAACTGTATCATATTTAAAATTAAGATTTTTAATATCCTTATGCCTTTTTACTAATTGATTTGCTTCAGTTTATAAACATCTGTGTTCTGTGAGTTTTTAGTCATACTAGGCAATTAACTCATCCTTTATATATGTTGCTTTTTTGGTGTGGAAATGAAGGGATGGGTAATTATAAACCTTAAAAAGAAACCCAAGGTGATGAAGTGTACTGCAATGGTTGCTGTTGATTGTGAAATGGTTCTCTGTGAGGATGGGACTGAAGCACTAGTCAAAGTCTGTGTGGTAGACCACAATTTAGAGGTAATTTATGCATGTTCTTCCTTTTACTTGGTGCCTTCCCCATGGGAAAAGTAATAATATAGAGGCTCCGCATAATTGTATTTAAAATGATTTCTCCTTTTCGGGGTGTAGATAGATAATTTTCATAACTTTTCAGGTCAAAGTAAATGAACTTGTAAAACCCGACAAAGCAATTGCAGACTACAGAACAGAAATTACTGGTGTCTCTTCTCAAGATCTAGAGGCAGTGACATGCTCCTTGGCCAATATACAGGTATTTTGTGGTTCACTTGATGGTTTTCATGTATCATCCTCTCAAGTGCATAATGAAGATATGTGTTGCCCTTTCATAGAAATCCATGAAGAAGTTGTTGTCAAATGGAACCATATTAGTGGGACACAGTTTACATAACGATCTACGTGGTAAGTGTCAAAAACATTTTTCTCTGTTTGGCTGTGTTCAACCTACTGTTAGTTTTAGAGTATATGAAGGGGATCACTTCTGTCGAAATAATTTTTCTTCGTTCTGTTTTATTTACTATTGCTTTCATTTGCAGTGCTGAAGCTAGATCATGTTAGAGTTGTTGACACTTCATATATCTTCCAATCCTCGGACGGATCTATTCACAGGAGACCTTCTTTGAATAGTTTATGTCAGGCAAGTATCAAATTGTTAAACCAAAAGATTTAGGTTTTGTATTGCTTGTCATCTAATATACAAAGCATTATTGTGACCAGATAGTGCCTCCTCCTTCAGAGGAATTGCCTTAGTCACACCTGTTATTTTGAATGTGCAGTCTCTTTCTTATGCACTTGTGCTTGTCTATGTTTTGAAATTCAAGATATTGCACCTATGAACTCACATAAGCAAATTATGGCCAAAAAATGGGCAAATATTGGTCTAGATTCATAGTTTTATCACCAATTGTTGACAGGCTGTGTTAGGCTATGAAGTTCGGGAAAATGGTGCTCCACATAATTGTCTAGATGATGCATGTGCAACAATGAAACTTGCTCTTGCAAAGATCAAGCATGGTGTTGATACAGCATTTCCGTTGGTTCAGGAGCGTGTAAGCTGACATATATATATCTCCAGTACTACATTGTTGTGCTCATGGTGGTTGGTAACTAAAGGTCATTACTATTACTGTTCTGTCATTTTAGGTTTCAGAAATTGAGATGGCGAAGCTCCTCCTTCACAGGATACCAATTACTGTGAACAGTAAAACTCTACATGAAGTTGTTCCTGGAGACTTCACATTAGAACTGAAGGTAGAGTATGACCAATAAATATCTCAACATTTTGATGAAAAGGATCAATTAGTAATTATAAGAATTGTATGAATGTCTTTAATTTGAGGACATTTAGATTCATCATATGGTACTCTTGTTGGCATTCTGCCTCTGGATTATTTTTCTCATGCGAGTTCTGATGCATTGTAAAATTTCTTGCAGCCTTCGAGGAAAGGTCAAGGAGAAAAATATTCTGCCTTAGCTATCTTTAAGAAACCACAAGAGGCAAATGATGCCTATGAAAACGTCCAAGGCAGCCAATTAAAGGTACATAACTACATATATAATATAACAGTGTCCAATGATGCTAGTTGATATCACTAATTTTGCTTGTTGATTATCTGAGGGAAAGAAATGCTCAACTGTGGTTTCTATTCTCTACTATAATACCTGAATCCATTTGTTCTAATAGAAATATTTTAAGGTTAGACATGTATTTAATTCTCCTCCCATTATCCGATGGATCAAATAACACATCCTTTAATGCTTGTTCAATAAAATGAAGATAATTTTCTGGACAACTCTTAATAAATTTATATTGCAGTTGTATATCACACTGAAGCATATTTATTCATACTAGTGTTGTATATTACTTTATGTTAGGATTCATATGGACGTCCACAGAAACTTGTCACATTTCGGCTAAGTACAGGCATTACTGCCACTCTATTTGTTCGGAAAATGGCAACTGATGATCCTCATGACCTGATTCCATGTAAGAGAGCTTCAGAAGTGAATGAGGTTGTTGATGAAATTTCCAAGAAAGCAAAGACGGATCCTAAAATTGAAGAGGATGCCCTGACATGCTCCAGTAAGTGTGACACTGACACCCACTTGAATGAGATTGAAGCACTGAATCAACGAGTGAAGCAAAGTGATTTGGAGATTGAATCATTGAGAGAACAGTTGAGACAAAAGGATTTTGAAATCTCCATGCTGCATAAAATGGTATCCTCATTAAAAAAGCGAACAAAACAATCCTAGTAGCCATGGCATTGGAATGTTTGATCAATGAATTTCAGGACATGCTCCCTCTCTGGTGTTTCTTATTCAGTTATGGCAATTTTTTACAAACCGTACGGGAGTATAACCCAGAGCTTTGATACATTGTGAACTGCTGAATTTGGGTTGGAAAACTATACTTGTTTTGCAAATTCAAATTTGTAACTAAAATTTTGCTCCCGAGGGATTGGTGACATTAGTCATTACTGCAATTTTGCGTTCGACAGAATTATGTCATGTGGTGTGGTATTATGTTATTGTTTGAAACATTTCTTTTAATATTGGATTAAGTTTATATTTTATGAACATATTATGGAATTGGGCTTGTTTGATAAGGTAGCTTTTTTGGATATGGCAGTTTCTAGCAGTAAAAGTTACAAATTTGTTTGGTATATATTTTTCTGGTATAAGTTTACTCGTGGATTTCAAAAGTTGTGTTTTGACGAAACTCGTCCGGATGCTTGCAGGTTTCATGTAATTGTTAAAAGTTTAAGATATGATTGTTTTTTTAACTTGTTCTTGAGTTTTAGATTTATCCTTTTCTAGTTCGAATCTAAATTCATTTAATATATATATGATTTGTAAGCATGTGACACCATTGATCTTTTTGATCTAACGGCTCTCAGATGAGGTGTCAAAATTAAAATTTGACACCGGTGTCAAAGGATCCTATATATATATATATATATATATATATATATATATATATATATATATATATATATATATATATATAGGTAGGATCCTTTGATACCGGTGTCAAATTTGAAGTATTTGAAGTTTGACATCTCATCTGAGAGCCGTCAGATCAAAAAAGATCAACGACTCTGATTTGTAAGCATGTGACACCGTTGATTTTTTTTGATCTAGAGGCTTTCATATGAGGTGTCAAACTTTAAATTTGACACCGGTGTCAAAACATCTTACCTCATATATATATATATATATATATATATATATATATATATATATATATATATATATATATATATATATATATATATATAGAGAGGTAGGATCCTTTGACACCAGTGTCAAATTTGAAATTTGACACTTTATCTGAGAGCTGTTAGATCCAAAAAGATCAACGACTCGGATTTGTAAGCATGTGACACCATTGATCTTTTTGAATCTAATGGCTCTCAGATGAGGTGTCAAATTTGAAATTTGACACCGGTGTCAAAGGATCCTACATATATATATATATATATATATATATATATATATATATATATATATATATATGAGGTAAGATGTTTTGACACCGGTGTCAAATTTGAAGTTTGACACCTTATCCGAGAGTCGTTAGATCAAAAAAGATCAACGACCTGATTTGTAAGCATGTGACACCATTGATCTTTTTTGATCTAACGGCTTTTAGATGAGGTGTCAAATTTTAAATTTATCACCAGTGTCAAAACATCCTACCTCATATATATATATATATATATATATATATATATATATATATATATATATATATATATAGGGAAATATAAGAATCATGTTGCAGGAATGATACTGTTCATTCCTGCAACAAGGATCCGCGTCCATATCTTAAGGATACGGCGTCGTATCCTGATTTTGGTCTGATTTTTTTTTTAAACGTGGGACCTACACTTGATTTGTGTGTGCAGAAAAGTGCTCTAGTCATGTCACATGACAAAAAGCGAACTCATATATATATATAACTTGCAAATGAAAAAAAATATCGAAGCATGTGCTGTCAAGTACAACTTTAGTAGTGGTATTTTTTTTTATTCTTTTTACAATCATAATAATTTATATTTGTCCTTTTCTATATGTGCAAAACCTAAAATCTATGATTTTAGTTCGCTCAACAAATCATGGGTCGAAATTCTAACAAAATGTATGTCCGTTGATCCACAAAACTTATATGAAAAAATAGATTTTCATTTTCCAGTATTATCGAAATTCACATGACATGAACTCATGAGAATTGCTTCTTACCGTTATGATCAAATATTGTAATGATGGCCTAACCTAATAAGGAAATTTGTGAAGCCGAAACCCTCTTAGCATGAACCTGTTGAAGTCCAAAGTAAGAAACCTTGATTTCGTAACATGTTGTCAGAATTTCATCATTTACCTTCGTTCAGGCTGAACTTCTAGATTGAAGCTTGTTAAAGTCCGTTCAAAGTATTTGACATACCTCTAGAAATATTTACAGAAACCATTGATTTTAGAAGAATCAAGCTTTCGCTTAAAACTAATTGAATGATGACTAGACTTGGTGAGCTGAGCACCAGATTTAAAGTGAGTTTGCTAAATTTTTTTAAAAATATAGTTAAAATTTATATAAAGTTGTTTTTAGGGTTTTCAAGGGAGGGAGATGAAATGATTTGTTATTAGGATAAATGATAAAATTTATAATTTTTTTTTAAAATAAAGGTGAATTCAGAAAATAAATATAAAAACTCCAAAAAGTTGAGATACATCTTAAAAAAACTCATCCTGTGAGCTTTTATCTTTATTTTTTTTCTTCATTAAAAAAATCTCTTTTATGTTAAAAGTTTTTATAAAATTATGTTTGGCTAAGTTTTTACTTATAAAGAGAAAATAAAACTAAAAATAAGAGCTACCATTCAATATAGCCAAATTTCAGATATGCATGCCATCCAAACTAAATTAATCTTCTTTTATGAATAACGAGTAAAAACTGCGAAATACAAAAGAAAAATAAACTCCAAGGGATGGCAGAGTTGTTAAGCGATTGTGCCTAAGAAGTGGATTGATATGACTGAAAGATCACTTATCGATTCCTAAACAACCTTAGGAGGTGTTTGGTAGAGGATAATTTTTTTTTACCGGAGAAATATAATAATCGGGAAAATGGTAAGAAAATCACTTTGATAGGAAAGTTTAAAAAAAGATGTTTGGTTGACCGAAATATTACCAGAGAAATTTATTTAAATTTGCAAAATCTATTTCGGGAGAAACTTCACACTTGTTTTTTCACTTACCCATTTATTTCAAAATACCACATCTCAAGTGATATTTTGTAACATTGAATTTCATCCAAAAATCAACACAAAAATCATTTCCCCATCCATCCTATTTGTCTAGTATTTTTTTCAAAAACCTGAACTAAACGTAGTATTTTTCAATATCCACTTACATTTTTCCATCAATCCCAAAATAAAACTTCTACCAAACACATAATTCAATTGCTTTGGCATGTCACTGTCAGAGATCAATCGATTCAAAAGGATAGGGAATATCTAACTAGTTATTCTTCCGCTTTTAGTGTACTCTTATGCTTTGTCTGAGAGTTAGTTTTAGGAGAGGAAAAAAAGGAAAGGAAGGATTTTAGTAAGCTCTTTTCTTGTTTGTGAGTTTAAAAAAAAGGAGGGGAAGAGTTTGAGATTTTTACTAAACCCTCCAAAACCCACATTCTTGTTAAAAGTAAAGTTCCCCCAATTTGGAGGATTTTAGGAGAAAAATATTAAAAATTACTTATCTACCTTTAGCATTAAAATGTTAAAACTACATAATTATGAATCATTTTTAAACACGATATTATTAGAAAGGTCTCAAATACCGACAGAATTTATTGACGAAAAAAATTTCGTAAAAAATAGTGATGAGATTTTTGATGAAAATCATTTTCGTCAAAACTAAAGACAAAATTAGAGACGAAACCAGATTTTTCCATAATTACTAACATAAATTTTGTACGAAAAAAAAAATTCAGTCAAAATTATTGTTAGAATCTAAATTGCGTCGAAAATTTTAACGAAAATATTTCCGTCCAAAATTTTGATGAAACACATTTCCATCGAAAAGTTTTGACGTAAAAAAATTACGTCAACATTTTTTACGAAAAATATTTCTATCAAAATTTTGACAAAAAATATTTATGTAAAAAATTTTGACGAAATATTTTTTTTTTTTGTCAAAATTCTTTACGAAATCTAAATTTTGACAAAATATTTCACAAAAACACATATTAATCGAAATTTTTGACGAAAAAATTTTTCATCAAAATTTTCAACGAAACACATTTGTATCAAAAATTGTTGACGAAAAAAATTTCATCAAAATTTTTAACAGAATTAAATTCCGCCGAAAGTTTTTGACAGAAATATTTTCGTTAAACTTTTTGGCAAAAAAATGTTAAAATTTTTAACGAAACACATTTTCATCGAAAATTTCGACGAAAAATATTCCCGTCAAGTTTTTTGATAAAAAACATTTCCATCAAAATTTTCAACGAAATGCATTTCTGTCAAAAAAATTTGGCAAAAAATATTACCGTAAAAAATTTTGACGAAAAATATTCTGTCAAAATTCTTTACAGAATCTAAATTTCGTCGAAAGTTTCGAATGAAACATTTCTCTCAAAATTTCTAACAAAACAATTTCTGTCAAAATTTTCGTCAGAACACATTTCCATTGAAATTTTGAACGATAAACGTTCCGTCAAATTTTTTGATAGAATTCTTATTTCTTTTAAAATATTTGATGAAAAATAAATTTCGTCGAAAATTTCGATAGAAAATTTATTTTTTTAAAAATTTTCATCTGTTGAAAAATTCCGTCGCTTTCCGACGAAAAATATTCTGACGAAAAAAATAATTTTGTGATGAAATTTTCATTGTTTGCAAGGTTAAAATTTCATCGAAAATATGATCTTTTTTGGTGTTGTGAAAAGTACATACATAATTTTGTTAGAAATTTTAAACTTAATTTAATTTATAAAATATAATAACTATATTAATTTTAAAAAAAGGGTAAAGTGGTAAAAATATCTCATTAATCCTCAATTTTCCTTCTTTACTATTTCTTTAACTCCCAAACAAGGAAAAACAATACCCTCCAATTTCCTTCCCTTCCTTCCTCTCCCTCCCCCTTGAATCCCCTTCCTTCTCCTCCCTTCCGTACTCCCAAACAAAGCCTAAATAAAGTTGCTCAATATTTAATCAGATAACAAGGATTGTAGGTCGCGTGCATTATCAATTTTTCAAGAGGCTTTGGTGGAACCATGATCAATATTAGAAGCTGAAAAATCATGATAAGATGATTACTCAGCAAATTCTGGTTCCATTGGTCACCCTAATTCAGCTCTGAAAGCTAAATCCAATCTCAATTCTCAGCACAAGCAACTAACAACAAATAAACTAGCCAAATACTAAAAAGCTTTATAATATGGAGGAGGTTATACTTTGTATCATTTTTTTCCTAGTATCAATTTTATTATCGTTGAATTAAAATCAAATTGACAGTTACAAAATAACATCGAGTAAGAACTGTTAATTTGATTTTAATCCAACAATAACAAAGTTGATAGTAATGAAG